CACACCCACCCACCCACTCACGCACCCACGCACCCACCCACACACAAATATTAATATTTTGAAGTTTGTTGTCAATGGTTGTCCACCCACCCACGCACCCAACACACACACAAAAATATTAATATTTTGAAGTTTACTGTCAATGGTCGTCGTCGGGGTTTTAACCCACCCATAAATTTGAGATACGCAACTGGCCGATCTGATAACCACTTAGGTCGATTGGGTCCCTGTGTGGTTTTGGGGACTGCTTTTTTTTGAAGTGTATCCGACGTCAGGCAACTGGCAGGTCAGGATGTGCCTGTGTGTCCAAACCCTAACGTTGCACAATGATGCAGGCGGGTCCAGTCCTGCAATTTTCAAGGGCCAACTCCAGCGATTTCTCTCGCTAAAAAAAATCAATAAAAAATCTAAAAAGTTGAGATTCTGTAGATTAGGTTGCGATCTCTCCTGGAAAAATATCAAGAAAAATAATAATAATAATAAAAAATAGACCATGAAATGAATGTCGCGCCATTTCGTTGCATTTTTCATTTTTCCTATTTATGCATGTGTTGGCCAACGAGAAAAGTACCCCAACTTCCGCGATGTTTTGCGCTCAGAAGGATGACTCAACAACTCTACAAATTGATGGGCGTGGAGATTTGGTCGTGATCTTTCGACGAAAAATATTTTAACAAATTTAAAAAAATATTAATGATCGTGAAATAAATGTCGCGCCAACTCATCCTATAAACCATTTTTATTGCTTTATGTTGCTCTGTTATGATCCTCGCCAATTTCGAGATACACATCCATCAGATAGTACAATGCCACCCAATTTCATAAAGAAATGAATGAACTTGAGAGAAGAGAGAGGATTAGAATAATAATAAGAAGATGATGTACACCAGCATAGACAAATGGCAAGGCTCTTCTTCTTCGCCCAACAATCTCCTCCTGCTTATCTCCCCCTTCTCTTATTCATACAAGAAATAATAATACAATGTTGAATAGCTGATTCAGAATCAATGTGCAAGTCCCTCTTCTACTGCAGGTATCACTTGAGGTCCACCATAGCCATGGCCGCCTCTCCCGCTCTTCACTCTCATAGGCCGAGGCTATGGCGGACTACTAGGCCTTGCCCAGATGCCCAAAGGACAACCCAAAGCAGCTATGGCTGCTCTAGCTCAGGCCGCCATGCCTAACCCTGCCTCGAAGCTTCTTGGTGTGACTCTCCCCAGTTGGGGACTCCCTGCTGCAGCGCCCACCAAGGTGAAGAAGATGGATGCCACCATCGCCAGGTAAGTACCCCTGGCGCTCCTCCCCCTTCCTTCCTTCTTCCTCCCTYGTGTCCTTTTCCTTCCTCCCCAGCAGCGCTGCTCCAGCATAGTGCTGCTCCAGCATAGCGCTGCTCCAACCAGCGCTCCACCAATGTGTCGCCAAACTTGCACACCGAAAAAGAGGCCGGACTCTCCGCCCAGCTTGAAGATATAGCGGCCTGCTTTGCCTCTTGGGCGTTGACTTCCAGGCCGCTCGGCCTTCCAAGCAACCAGTACCTCCTCCCTTTCGGAGGGAAACATCATTGCAGACTCTGATATTGCCCGTACAGGCCCTAGACCCAGATTGGTTGGACTGGTATCCACCTAAACCTAACCTACAACTACCGACCCTCTAAAAATGTCACTTTTGTCTTCTTCTGCTCGGCCTCCAGTACCCGCACATATACCCCTTCAGGGTGCGGTACCGGCCTACCCGCTACTTGAGTGTTCTTCCTGCTGCAATCCTTCAATGTCACAGCCACAGGTAAGTACCGGCCCTGAGGGCCCATTGAGCGAGCAAGTGCCCTTGCGGGCCATACACGCACTCAAGCCAAACAACACTCAGACAAATATGCAGTCCAGCAAGCGTGCACACACAGACTTAGTAGCAGCAGGGAAATCGGCAGGGTATTCAGTCTATGGGCAAAACTCAGAAATCAGCAGTGTGTTTCAGTCCATGTTTGGACGGGTCATCACAACTCAATCACATGTTGGCCAACGAGAAAGGTACCCCGACTTCAGCGGTTTTTCCCGTCTAACACAATACTCCGAGAAGTCTGAAAATGGGAGGGTGTGTAGATTTTGTCGTGATATTTCCAAGAATAATATTCAAGAAATTATAAAAAATAATTTCAACTGCGGAAAAAATCACAGCGGCCATTCGATGCATGTACATTTGTGTCGCTTGCCGATTCTCCCCACTCTGCTATCTGTGGCCCTCATGAACCTATGCTACCGGTCCCCCCAAATTTTGGACGGCGGGGGCAGTGGTGGTTTAAGTATTTATTAGGAAAAAGTAAAAATTCATGGGCACTTCTTAGGGGGTGTCGGTTTTGTGTATGGTAACGCATGATATGGATCCAAGTTTGAAGTGTAGGGGGCAGGGGCCTGCCCCGCAACTTTGAAAAAAAACAACTCTACGACACACACACACACACACGTGACACGCACATACACACACACACACACACACACACACACACACACACACACACACACACACACACACATTCACAAAACAAAAAAAAACTCCCCTCCAACAATCACCAATAAAATTAAAAAACCCGGACTTTACATAGTTTAATTAAAAAAAAGAGCACACACATACACAAATAGTCTCATACATACACAAATAGTATACATACACAGGCATACTTATACATAAAATAGACATGGACCCAATATAATATTTCACATAATAAATATATACACAAATATGTATGCACATAGCCACCTAAATTTATACGAACATAAGTGCGACCTACACTAATAAACACAGACACACACACACACGCATAGGTATATACACATATATACATATACGTGCGCAGCGTCGTTGGACACATCTACACACACACATCCGTCCCCATGCATAAACACACACACACACACACACACATATATATATATACCATGTTGTGCCTCTAGTGCCAGCGGCGTATCTGGAGTGTATTTTTTGGCTGTGACAAACCTTTCTTTGTTTCGTGGATGTTTTGCTGGCTTGTGATGGGGTGTGAACCGACAGTCTGTAGAGTTTTCCATCTGGTGTGGGTGAGTGATAGTCTACTTTGATTTTGGTTAAGGTAGATTATCATTTACAATGTAATCAGTGAGGGGATTCTGCAGACTGTTGAGGGTTCAACCTCCTGATGAGTCGGTGAAACTCCGACGAAACAGTTTGTCACAGACCCTTGTTTGTTGTCCTCTTCTCTCTTTCTGCCTACGGTTTACCGGGCAGTTCTGTTTGTGACGATATATGCTACGACTTCGCTAGCTTCCTGCTACGGTTTTTTCCGGTCAGGTCGAGCGGTAGTGGCCAGGGCCGTTACTAGGCGGTCATGTTGTGCCTCTAGTGCCAGCGGCGTGTCTGGAGTGTATTTTTTGGCTGTGACAGACCTTTCTTTGTTTCGTGGATGTTTTGCTGGCTTGTGANATGCTGTGCCTCTAGTGCCAGCGGCGTGTCTGGAGTGTATTTTTTGGCTGTGACAGACCTTTCTTTGTTTCGTGGATGTTTTGCTGGCTTGTGATGGGGTGTGAATCGACAGTCTGTAGAGTTTTCCATCTAGTGTGGGTGAGTGATAGTCTACTTTGATTTTGGTTAAGGTAGATTATCATTTACAGTGTAATCAGTGAGGGGGTTCTGCCGACTGTTGAGGGTTCAGCCTCCTGATGAGTCGGTGAAACTCCGACGAAACAGTTTGTCACAGCCACTCGTTTGTCGTCCTCTTCTCTCTCTCTCTGCCTACGGTTTACCGGGCAGTTCTGTTTGTGACGATATATATATATATTGTATATATATATACGTAAGCGYCCCCCCCGCCACAATTCAGACTCACATACCCCATAGGCAAAAACACATACGCCCCCTAAAAAAAAAACGCCACGGCGATAACAAAACAATTTAAAATTAAAACAATAAACCATAAAAATAAAACTGAAGCGACACAACACTTCAAAGACCCACCATACCGCACACCAAAATGCAGCCACCACGGCCGAACTAGAAAGCACTACCGACACTCCTGCATATGAGCTAAAAAACAAACAACGCCCCCCCAAAAAACCTGCAAGCAGCAATCCACACGCGGCACACCTACTATACAATCGTACCAACCAAAAAAGACAAAGAGGAACGCACATGCAAATCACGCAACGCAAGCTACGCCCCTCCGATCCCAACCCACCACACCACCATATCCGAGCTCGATGCCAAAACTCCTCACTGACTCACCAACAAAAAGCGTACCCTTCCACCACTGCGCACTACCAAACGAACAACACACCCGCATATCTGGATGCTGCTGCGCACAACCACGCGCTGTCACTGCATACACAGACTCCCCGCCCCCCAAACAAACGTCCCGCCGAAAGCCATGGCTCCCTACCTCAATACTCAATTTGTATTCGCACAACGCCTCCACAACCCCCTACTACCAACCTCCCACCCACACCCCCGGTTCGACTATCTCCACTATCCCCTATGCGCCACCAACTACCCCCTACAGAATCCATCAGAATGTGGGATTGTGATTTAATGAAGAATTTGCTCAAAACGAAGTGGATTTAAAAGTTTCCTTGAAGAGTAAAGATTTCATTATACAATACAGTCATCTTTTCAAGAAGACTGACAATGACATTCCAAGAAGAACAGTATGTGGGTTAACAACGACAGTTTGACGTAAATGTTGCGATGCACGATGGAGTTGCAGGTGGTCACAAATTTGCGCGCGTCACTTTGAAGAAGGTTTAACACTTTTACTTTTTGGATGTGATGAGTAAAATGATTGCCAATTGTGGAACTCCTTCGTTTTTTCTCAGAAGTCTTCGAATCTTCGAAATAGTGAGCCTCGTAACCCTTTTTACGTGGTTGACTCAAACGTTGTGGTGCATCACGATCTATTTGTTATGCCACTTGGGGTTAACGGATATAGATACATCTTCGATGCAAGAGATAATCCGAATGAGTTCGTAGACGATTGTGATATTCGTGAACGAACTGGGAAAGTTTTGGCAGAATGCATCAAGGAATTTTACCTTCAATATCCGTTCATACGCGAGTTCGTGATGAATTGAGGTGATGAGCTTCGATCTGACGATGTAGAGATCGTCATGAAGATAATGAGAGTAAATTACAACTATAGTATGAGAGCACACAGACAAGCTAACGCTCAAGTTGAACTTGGGCATATGCTACTTAGACAAAGTTATTGGTAAAGTAGTGTTCGGGTAAGCCGTCAAGATGACCAATACATTTGAGAACGAAAATGCTCATCGAAAATTTAACTATCAAGCAAACAACTAGATATGCCCCTATGACATTATAGTTTAGTCGGCATGTGGCATTCCCAATCAAAAATTTTCTGACTACCTGGTGAAAGCAAGATATGCAGACCATTCTTTCCACGGAAGAGTTACTTGACCTCAAGTCACGACAGGTAATGATTACGAAGAAGAGAGTTGAAGAGATCGTTGCCTCTACTGCAGAAAGAAAAAAAAAAAACATCAAGTGAAATCAGACAGACGGCCTCGAGTTCGTAAAGGGTCATTGAAAGTTTGTGATACTGTTCTCCTCTACGACTCTTCTTTGGAGAAGTAACGATCAAGGAAGTTGGATAGCCGGTGGTTAGGATAAAATATCGCATCGTTAAAAAGATATAACATGGGGCATATAAAATTGAGGAAATGGATGAGAGTCGTGGGCAGAATTGGGTTTCTGGTTCCCAGTTGCAGAAATTCATTTGCAGAGACTGAACAAAACGGTTGTTACGAATATTTTTTTACCTCTTTTATAAACTATGATACTTCTACATTGCTCATCTTGAAAACGACAATAAGGGATAACTTAGTGCATAAATCTTTTTTGTTTTCTTATTGAAGGAAATTCAAGGAATCTTAATATGAAATTTATGATTTTTTTTGTTTCCTACCGTTGAGTCGGATATATCAAGTGTTATGAATTTGTTGTCAAAGATAATCCTTTTCTTTGTGAGTGAGCACAACTGATTAATTTAATGAGTTGATGTATTTCGAAAGGTGACACTTTTGAACTCTTGATATTGAATATTGTTTTTGTTTCTTGCATTTTTTTTTTTTTTTTTAATGCTCCTTCATGAGTGGTTTACTGTTATCATTTGAATTGTCTTTCATGAGTCAATGTCTTTATTTTGGTGTTGTAAGAGTTATGAGAAAGTGATATGTGGCTTGAGGCGCATGGCTTCTAAAACGATGTGCAACTATTAAGAATGCATACGTTTTAATTGCTT